ATCCATGGATGGTTTCGGCATGCAAGAGGGTATTTTCCCCGGTGCCTAGCGGGAGAGGACATAGCTTGCGATGTTGATGAGGTCCTGTGGCCAGACCCCAACAGACGGCGGGATCCATGAGCCCACTTATGCACACTTGTCATGGTTTTTTGTGTTTACAGTATAGTGTTTTTTCTATTGCAGTATTATTGTGTTGTGTTTTTTTTTTTGTTTTTTTTTGCTTCATCTGAATTCATGGTACTGCAATGTACACTATTGAGTAGGTCTATTTGCATTTTTGGTTGTTTGGAAATGTGTCTCCTGTAAATGTGCCTTCTGAATACACAATGGAATTCAAGGACTGCAGTGTTTTATGTAAAGAAGACTAGTGTGTTCCCCCTGATCTGTAAGTGTTTGCATATGATGCAAGTATGTGTCATTTTGTCAACAGAGTTACATTTTGACAGAGGAATGTTAGGTTTTGACAGCAGAGTTTAGGTTTTGGGAGTGGAGTTCCATTTTGGCACAGATGTGTATGGTATCCCAGTGTTGTGTCATGTTTACTTGTGTTTAGAGTTTTGGCACAATGAGCGACGTTTTGCAAAATGTGTTCAAGCAACGGGCAAAAACTGTAAATGCTAAAAACACCCTTAACAGTCCTGAACGTGTGGATTACCACAGCAATTTGTCAGCATTTCTAAGCTTTAAATAAAGGTCTAACAGTCAGTTACTCTTTTCTTTTCTTTTTTTGTAAATGGCCTGTATTTATATAGGCCATTTTTGTGGTCAGACTGTGTTATGAACATACAGTTTTCACAATCTGCCCTTTGTATAAGCTGTAATAATATTTCACTCCCACTGACATCTGAGGATTTGATCCCCATAGTGCTTTGCTGAGATAATGTACTTAACCTGGCACATCTCATGTAACTACTTCAGCCCTCTACTACTAATTCCTAGTGCATAGCCTAGTAGTGCATAAAAACTCAGAAACAGTATTTCCCAGAAATGTCACAATTTTCTCCATATTTCTGGTTAAAGGTTTGTATGACTTGCACACTGCTCATTTTAACTTTCTCAGTAACTATATTACATGGGCTCAGACTCCGAATGCTGACAAGTGAAGTGCCCATTTTAGTTTTCCTGTAAGAAAAGTGTTAATGTTTCTGGTCTGCAGTTCCTTTGAAATCATTTCCTTTTAACTCACAATTACTTTTCAGTACTTTTTCTTTTTTTCTTAGTTTTTCTTAATTTCTTTTTAAACAAAGCAGTCATTGTTCTCTACACATACTTTTTTCTTTAGAGTATTAGTTCTTTTCCCTCTTTGCTTTTTAAACATGAGTTATGTGTTAGAAAGTGTAGTTTCTTTGACTCATCCCTTATTCCCAGAAGAACTTAACTCAATTCAAGCTGCTAAGGCTTTTGCACACAGAGGCAGTGGTAGTGTTCAGGAAAAGGTCACAGTAAAACCCTTAAATAGCACATGAAATTGTAGCCCCTCACTTACCAGATGTCTGAGAGGTGTCTGATTTCTACCAGGGCTGCGTTGCTCTGTTTTGAGCATAAGAGTTATACTAATGCTTATTTTGCACATCATGAAGAGCACACATGGTATGACAGATGAGGTCAGCTTAATTCAGATTCTAAAATATTAAAGAGGTTTTGTTTGTGCAGTGCTGATGCATCTTGGTCTTATTAGGTACACTGTTAAGTCAGCCAAAGAAACCCCTTGGCCCCTGTTCAAGGGGGTGAAGTCTTCTAATGGAAATAACTTTTAAGCCTCAGTGAATCATTTCTTAACAAGCCTCACAGTTCAGCCTCGAAGAAGAAGTTTTACTTCTCAGATTCGCTGAGGTATTTTGATGAAATAGCATTACAAAATGCAAAAACAATGAAGTTAAAAACGTTAAGAGATTCCAATGATTTGAAAATAGTACACAGAACACTCTTTCTGTTTTAAAACAGAAATGTATTTATTTATTTTCGAAAAACAAGAGGTTTCTATGAAGAGTGTCTGGCCTCTCCCTTAGAGATAGGATGAAGAGTTCAATCATTTATGAATAGCTCTGACCCAAGACAATTTGGAGAGATTATATTTCTTAAGGCTGGAATGAGAACGCCTTGGTGTTCCCTCAGATACACTAAAGCAGGTGATTGGGGAAAGGGAAGTCTGTGTTTTTCTGTGGTGGAAGCTGCCCTGGAAGAGCATAAATGGACAGATGGATTCGTTCACTATGTTAGGACATGTGGGAACAAGGGCAAATCTTTCATGTCCTATTTCTCTGGAAAAGGCCCTTTGCTTGCTCAGCTACTTGCTAGTGGAGCCACAGGCTACAATGCCAAATAATACTTGCCTGTAATGTGCTTCACAGCATTGTCACAAGACATAATGTTCCCCTCTGCGATAATGTTTATGATGCACCTGAGCCTGATGAGGACCCAGAAAATCCTCCTGCAATCCCTCTGACTAGGGAGATGCAGCTGTTCAAAATTACTCTTAAGTGTTTTGTTCAACTAATCAAGTTGGTCCTATAAATTCAGCATTGGCACTGCTGGTGGGTGTCAGGAACCATTATGGTGTATTTGTAGGACTGAGTCACAATGGGCTGGGGTGTTAGGAGGACAGCAGAGTTAGTTAAATTCAGATGGAAGAAGGCCAAGTCAAGAAGGGACCATGCTGAAGCCAAAAACACTCAAACTGGTGACAAATCTTACCAGAGCACAGACTACAGAGATATGGTCCTTAATATTATTGGAGGTGCAAACTGACAAACTTTGCATGGGATTCAAAGTACTGTAAGTGATGCTGAGCCCACAAATGTAGAGAAAACCGATCCAGTTCTTTCTAATGAAGAGGACACACTTGTTCTTGTTGTGGACAGTGGATCACCTCTGGTAGAACCAGCATCTACTGCATCAGAAGGTATCAAATAAGGCTTAAAGAAGTCTTTGTCAAAGACAGATAATGATGATGATTATGTTACATGGTGTCAGGCTGGCGTCTGGTTCCTGGTCCCCGCTTCGATCTCCACACCTGCTCATCATCACTCACCTGCTGCTCATCATTCATGATTGCTCCTGCCATTATTTAAGGCCACACTGGAGTGCTGGTTTTTTCTGGGTTGTTGTACTCACCTTGGTTAGTGTAGCTCCAACTCTCTTTGTGAATCATATCGTATCTCATTATGTTTCCTGGTTTTCCTAATGAATGTTTCTATTCTCTGTACTGAGCCTTAGACACTGAGTGAGTGTGACTGAGTCACAGACTGTGTGAAGAGGAGTGTCCTGGACCTGCCCCTGGATTTGTGTTAGAGTCCTGCCTGACATCTGTGACAACATAGTCTTTGAAATTGTGTAACTTCTTTTTTAAAGAACACCTTCATATGCCATATTGTTTATATTTATTAGTTGTTTAGTCAGTGGACTGAAAGTTACAAAGAAAGTTACCACCAGAGCTCTTCTTTGTAACACTTGAAATAAACACACTTAAAAGTACTGTGTGATTACTGTTCTAACTGTTCTCTGTAATATTTGAAAAAATGTTTCAGTATTTTAAACTTCTTTTCTTTCTTTTTCCTTCTTCTTTTTTTTTTTTTTTTTTTGAATAATGAGGACAAAAGTGAGCCGGATTATGTGATCCATTGAAAACCAAGGAAAAACCAAAAGCAGATGATTTTTATCTGCATTACACCTTTTAAACAACAGGGCCCTGAGGATTAGGATAGGCCATCAGTCCTTTTAGGCATTCTAGGTCACTGACTGGAGCACCAGTACAGAAGAGTTGAACAAGGCTTTGCTGTATAGTGTTCCAGGAAATGAAGTTATTCATGCCAGTCAGTTCAGTTAGTCGGTCAACCATTAAAGTTGGTTTGAGAGCAAGTGAACTTGATTTATGGAATGTCTGATCCCAGGAGAAGGGTAGATCTTAGATTTGAACCTTTAGATTTGAACCTTAATTGCACACGCACACACCACTTGAAGAACCAAACAGAACAACATAATCTGCAAAAAGCAAAGGTAAAATCCTGTAGCCACTAAAGTGGAGACCCTCCACCTGGTTACATCTGGCTACATCTAGATATTCTGTTCACAAAACCTATGAACAGAGTCAGTGACCAAGGGCAGCCCTGGTGGAGTCTAGCATTAACCGGAAAACAAGTCTAACCTCCACAGTATACCCACATGAACCCGGTAAAACTACTTCTCCAAGTCCACAAAACATATGTAGACTTTTTTACAGGTTGGTCAAACCCCCCTACACCCTTGAACATCTTTGAGAGGATAAAGCCGTGGCCCATTGTTCCATGGCCAGGTCAAAAACGGCATTGTTCCTCTTGAAGTGAAGGTTTAACTAACAGATGGACTCACATCACTAGTACCGAAGTGTAGATTGTCCCGGGCTGAGAAGTGTGATACACCTATGGTTGCAGTACACCTTCTCCACACCCAAGGCACCGCCCAGATGTCCAGGCAACATTGCAGAGACAGGTCAGTCAGGACAACCCTACAACATCCAGTCGGTGCAGTCGGTGCTATCAGTACCAGACTCATCATAGAAGGTGTGATTATAGGATTGAGGAGATAATCAAATCTGAATTTGACATTGGCTGCATCCCACCATCACTGTAAACAAGAAAGTCCTGGGTTCACATCCAGGCTACAGTTTTTTATTGTGGACACATCCACACATGCTCTCCCTGTGCATTAACTGGTGACCCTAATGTGGTCATGGATGGATGAATGGATGGACTGATGCTTGAATGGATTCCTTTTGGGGTTTTCTTTTTGTTTAGTTTTCTTTTCTTATTTAAATAGGGTTATAATGTTCTCAACTTAATAATAATAAAACTAATAAAACAAGTAAACATATAACATACATAATTTCCTAATCAAGTATTCCGATGAACCTTTTGTTAAATATGTTTCTGCTTTGAGATTTTGACTCCAGTTTACACAAGGCTGCATTAAAAGTTCACGAGGTGAGCAAAACTCTTTCGTTAAGTGAAACTCTCGAATCTATTAGTGGAAAATATTTGCTCATGCGATCTACAAAAGCAGTTACTCAAGGTGTGGTTGTGTAAAAGCATTTGTAGAGCAGCCTTGTGAAGCAAAGTAGATGTCAGAGTACATTACAAGCCTATTTTAGACAGAAGGTTTCTAGTAGAGTTCACATTAAGGGGCTATTTAAGAGGTCAGTAAGTTGACTTTAATTGCAATTAAAATGTTATTTGTCACAGAAAAAAAAGGTACTATTTTCAAAACGTAGGTAAATTAATTTTTGTTTTGAAAGTTTGATTGTTTTGCAGCAAAAATCTTTATATCATTGTGGAGGAGGACAAAAATACCACATTAAAGTGAAAAGTATCATAATAAGAGGCAAACTCACTGAGAATTATCTCTACTCTGCACTTCTCAGTAGTGCCGAACATTTAAGCTTATTGTTTTTGTCATAACGGCTGCAAATGTACTTTTTTGGTTCACTCACATGAGATGCAGAAGGCTGTTTTCACTGACTAAATCTTTGTAAACCCCCCCAGTACAACACCTGCCCAGTATCAAACAGCAATGAGGCCTTTGCAAATGAACATTGACTGGCATCACTTATTCCTCAGCTTATCATCGTAATCGCCAGCTCAGTGTTTATATTACTGGATTTTACTAGAGTAGCTTTACACGATTAACAGTTAAAATAATCCTTGTTTATTTCACGTACTGGTCCTTGGTGCAGCCTGCCATGTCATACTTTGTCTGAAACAAGCTGTTTTAGTTTCCTTCCCTTGCCCAAGAAAATGTATTACTATTATTATTTATTTATTATCCACTCTTCATCACAAGGATGACTAAACATATAAGCATTACTTCACTATTATGTCCTCATTAAGGACAGAGTTGTTGACTCTTCACTGAGGTGTCCTTTGTCATCTGCTTCTTGCTTTAATGCCTACAGGACCTGACCAGGCATACAGCCAGAGAAGACATCTGCCTACACGCTAGGTTGGTCACAGGCATCGCTCTAAGAGCTGCACTTCCCTAAAGGAAGCATGAGAATCACCTTACACAGGGAACAGGTGGGGGATTAGAGGAGATTTGATCCACTGAGTATTTAAGGTATTTCTCGTTGTTCATTTTATGGTTTTGAACCCCCTATGAATTTATTTGAAATCATTTTCACACTGTTTTTACTTATACACATCTGTAAGTATTAACTTTAGCCTTAGACGTTGCTGGTCTAAAAGCACAAAATGATAATAAACTTTAAAAAAAAAATGGCTCACCAGTGTTGAAAGGGTACCTATTCTGCACATTTCCAGCTCCACTTATTTATTCTTGAACTTAAGTTTTGAACGATTGTGAAACAGTTTTTGTCTCTTACTGGGCTTTGGTGAGCAAAGTAGAAGCTTTATGCAGCAGGAAGGTGGGGCTTCTGGGCTAACAGCCATAACTGTGTGCCAGGCATTACTATATTAAGAATACTTCCTCTTTCTGACATTGTAATGAGCTAAAGAAAACGGTCTAAAAGAGAACATTGGGAGCAGCCTGAAGTTTCTGGCTAACATAGATAACTTATTGGTAAAGTTTGGTATTGACAGAACAGCACAAGAGACATTATTGAAGCCCACTCTCACACTACCGACTTCATTTCATGAGTTCTTTGAATCTATTTTAACTTTTAAAACAAATTCTACAGTAGACCAGTGCTCATATTAAATCATGTTTTGACTCATAATTACACTCACAGTGAGTCTCAGTTTGGTTTCACTGGTCCCTTAATGTGACATGCCTTTGTATTTGAATCATTTATTCCAGCAAAGAGCAGACTTTTTTTTCAGTTGTAGTTGGTTAGATTAAACTTTGAGGCCTTAAATAGTGCCTTACATATTCATTATAGCACTTTAAAACTATTTATCTTGGCTTTAGTTGTGAGATTTTGCTGTTTGTGTTGATAGGCTTTAGTTATCTCACCTCCCAAAAAAGAAACGTGTAGAGTGGCTTTAATGTGTCTTTATAGACCCACCACCCACATGTTTGATAAGCTAGTTCAGGAGTAGCAAAAGAATAAACTGTGCATATTTGGAAACTCATTTCAACACATCTGGCTCAGTCCCATTAGGATCAGTTATCTAAACAGTGGTCAGTGCACTAATTGACATTATAAGAGCAATTTATAATGTCTTATGTTTTAGAATGTGGTAGATTGCGTAGAATGTAGTTAATTAATTATTTTAGTCAAACAAAATGCCAATGATCTTGTTACTCACACCAGGAGATTCCTTTTTCTGTTAAGCTCTCTATTTCTGTTATTCAAGACATCAGTCTCTAGAGCTCAAGAGTTTCAATTCTTGCTTAAAGGGAAAGGAAAAAAACAGAGTTTTGAATTTGTTTTTCCTCCCTTTTAACAAACTTTGAAACATGGTTTTGTAATGTTAGCTGCTCAGTATTAAAAGATATGGTATTCCTGTGAGACATGTGTAGAGAACAAGCCGAACAGTCACGTAGTTCTAAATATTCCAGTAATTTCTTTTCACTTTTTTTCTTTCTGATCACATCTGTCTACTTCGTCATGTTGCTGACATCTAGAGATGCATGCTTGTTCTTATTGTAATTGCAAGGACATTAAATAATCCAATGGTGTTTCATAGGTTTGGGATTCACTGTTAGAAGTTTGGATTGTGGCGCGTGAATGATATGAAATAGAATATGAGCACTGTTTCTCCAATTCATCAGTTTAGTTTATATGCTATACGTTTGATTCCTGCATTAAAAAGTAAATTCCAAAATGTAAAAACAAAATAAAGAAAAAAAGTTTTTCTGAAGAGTCCTTGAAGATTTTCAGGGTCAGAAATGTTGGACTCCAAAAGCATTTTAGATTCTAGAGAATCAGTGAATCTGGTATTTTTATTTTATTATATTTGAGTCACATTTGGGCTTTGAGAAAAGATTTTACAGTAAAATGTTCAAAAATTGAAAGGCTGTAGCAATTGGTGTCAGAATAGGATGTAGCAAAGTGAAAGTGTGTTAGAGCAGAAGCAACATTTGAATAAATGGTGTCTCACAGTGATCACATGTCAACTTTAAGGCGAAGGGGACTAAACCTCCACAGGGAAGCACTCCTGACATACTTTTGTATGTTTCTGATTTTCTGATATTTCTGAAATACCGGTTATTCTTGCATCACTTGTTAGCTGTTGTGTAGCAACAATGACTGTTATCTTAAAATTAATGTACCAGGTTCCCATGAAGAAACAATTAGTAGCTACAGTTGTATAGACCAACAGGATGAGCTAAGAGAAAGCAGAACCATGTAGCAGACTTTATGAGCTCACCAGAATCAAAAATAGGAAAGGAAACAAACACCAGCTCCTCCCATTTCCCCTTTTCACACATTTCGCCTTGTGCTTGCACTAAACAAATAGTTCTCACCATCATGAACATGAAGCAATTTTAAGTAAAATGAAACAAAAATATATACAATCAAATCTATATTTATT